TGTTTGGGATATCTAGGAAATTTTTAGTATGAAGTTTACATTTAATAATATTAAATTCATATTAATTTTCTGTTCTGTGTTGTCTAGAAGAATGCTATTAAAGAATACTTAAATATTTCAAGTTAACTGTTTGATTTCTACCATTTACATTCAAGAAGTTTCAGTGAAAACCATGTCATTGTGACAAACTGATAATTGGTAATTCTGAGTAAATGGTATTTGAGTGTTTATTGTACTACTCTTTTTCATTCTGATGGTTTGAAATTTCAAGATTAAAAAATTGGAGAAAGTATTTTGAATATTTTGTGTTAAAACTGAAACAACAAACTTTTATTGTTTATCAGGTCTGAATTTTCTGAATTTGCCAACAACAACAGCAACAACACAACAATCAAACAACAATGACAACAAACACAAGAACAAAAGCCAAAATCTCAGTTTTTCTCGAAAGAAATGGGAGAGTGCCATTTGCTAGGGAGTCTTTGGAAGCCTTCCAAGAGGTTTGGGAAAGGAGAGACTCAGGAAATTCACTTCTTCCCTCCTAGGACTTGGGTCTACTTAAAGTCAGGACTTCTCTGCCACACACAGGCCACCAGGTCTGAGAGGCCACTCTGGTTTTGAAGTCAGTTTTCTCTCAGTCCCCGCCCTCTGCTTCTTTCTACTGCCTTTTCTGGGAATGTCTTTGTGTCATGCTGCTTTGGTACTCTGTGCCTTTTCTCATTAAGCCACAGGAAACATGGGAAGTGTAATTATCTCCCTCAATCCCTCTGCTTCCCAAACCACTCATCTTAGGGTCTGTTGGGAAACAGGAAGCTGATATTGTTCTATGAAATTATGACAGGTTCCACTTTGGATTTACTCCAAGATCATGTATTCCATGTAGACACGGCATGGAATTTTTACAGAAAAAAAAAATTTTTCTTAGGCAGGCCTTAAATTTTCTTTTTAAAAAAAAATTTAAAGGCGGTTGGGTTGGGATTGCCCAAAAATCTCTCTTCATCTAGATAACAATCGCATGGGCAGAATTGGTCAGATATAATTATTTTGGAACTCTGGAATCCATTGAAGGCTTGAAACATCCAGGAGAAGGCTTAGATGGTAAATCTCAATTAATTGTAGTTGACTTTAGTTCTTAACACGGTGCCCCTCTCCAACCTCCACCCTTCAGTCAGCCCCATGGCAGGGAGTTGTACATGTGTTCTTGGAATAGCATGCAGAAGCCAAGGTGGGCAACAAGGAACCTGTCTTCCAAATATTGGAGGTTTGTGCTCTCGTCACTAACTGCTGCTTCTGATCACGGAGGTTCAGACGAGGGTGTGGAGGTCATTGTTGGTGCATCTGCCTTCATGCTACAAGCCTCCCTCTTCTGACTAAAGTGATTTCTAGCCAAAGGAACTTTACTCTTTAATTTTCTCCTTTTTCTTTTTTCCCCTCCAGACATGGAAGACTAGGATATCCAAAAGCAACTGCACATGTAGAGGAAATGAGAAAATCACCACAAATGTCGAAGGGAAGACAGAAGTTCAGAAAAGACTGGAGAAGACCCTAAGTTTTCACCTCCAGTTGATCTTCAGGTCAGAGACATCTGACAACAGCAATATAACCACCACCACAAAACCTAGCAAATGCTGGGGAAGGCGGAGAATCTCATTTCCAGAATTACCATATTATAATATTGAAATGTCCAGTAGTTTTCAACAACAACAGAAAAATCACAAGGTATATGTTCAAAGATAGAAAGGAAATTAACAGACACTCTCTCTGAAAAAGACTTGAGGGCAAAGACTTTAAAATAATTGTCAGAAAAATACTTCAATAACTAAATGAACACAGAGAATATCAGGAAAACAATACATAAATGAGATAGAAATATCAATAGAGAGAAAACCCAAATATAAACAAAGAAATTCTGAAATTGAAATGACAATAACTTCAATAAAAAGCATTCAAAGACAGAAGAAAGTCTGAGCAGATGAGATTTAGAGGTTCCCAGACTTTATTTGTTCCCCTTAGAATAAATGCTGTCTCCATATCAACATTCCACATTCTTTCTTACTCAGTCTGTTCTGCCATAATGGGACAGTTGGTGTCCTAAGATGACTTGAATTATAAAATTTTTATTAGAAAGTGATTATTCCAATAGGGACCAATGTAGTCAGAGCTGGAAAGTTTACATACATTTTTTTTTCTTGAAGAATTTCAATTACAAAGACAGCTAAACATACCCATATGGCAGTAGAACTTATCACCAGTTCTTATCAAAGAACTTATAAAAAACTGCTGATTATTTTTAGCTGAATAAATGATAAATTCTCTTTTTTCTTCCTAGTGCATTGTATTTAATCAACTCAGTATAATGCTAGTCTATTTTGCCAACTTTCTACCACTGAGAAAATATCGGAGAAAACAACAATTTTGCCAACTTGGCTCATGGTTTCCAAGGTTTCAATGTATGGTGACTTGGCTTCATTGTTTCTGGGTGTATGGTGAGGGGGACATCATGGTGGAACTGGGGACAAGATACATAGAGCCTTCTAGGGCATGCTCCCAAGGACTACTTCCTCCCAAGTAGGTTGCACTGCCTAAGTTTCTATTACCTCCCAATGGCCCATTAAATTATGAACCCATCAATGGGTTAGTCTCTTGATGAGGTTAGAACTCTCATGATCCAAAGGTCCTACCTCTGAACATTGCTGGATTGGAAACCATGTCATCAACACATGAGCTTTTACAGGATGTTTCAAATCCAAAGCACAACACACTCCAACAATATAACTTATCCCCACCTACACTAGGATATGAGGATTCTTGCTGTAGGGGAAATGCCCAGGAAGACACTTTTTTGGGGAGTTGTTACCTCAAGCTGATCTTAGATCCTTCACATAGCTCTAGAAATGCTCTGAGACTGTAGCCATCATATTAGGGCCAAGAGCATGTGGTGGCCCTGCATTGATGGACTGTCTGTGTCAGGAAAATCAGGTAGAGGAAGTGACTCTGAACTGGTTTTGAATGATGAGTTGGTGGCTTTGTGAAAGGAAAGATGGGAAGGAGAGGAGATGTCTCAGCTGGCAACCTTTGGTTTGGAGGTATGAGATAGCTTGGCTCATCCTGGGATCCACAAGCCATCTGAAGGAGCTGGAGAACAGGCTGAAAGGGAAAATGTGGCAGTGAAAGAGATTGTCCCAAAGAGGCAATCTCACTTCCTGGCACATGAAGGAATTTCAACTTCATGTTTAAAGTCAGCAGTTTTCCATTTTTGTCATTTGTGAATCATTTATTGGATGCTATTACTCCAGAGGATTATAGGTGAATTAAGAAAAAATGATTTGACACAATCTTAAAAAAATGCAACTGAATCGTGATTTAAAAAAAAAGAAATAAAAATAATGTTTTGGATCAGTGAGATGGTCTTTTCTGTGTTCTTGTCAAAGCTCAACAATAGAAAGTTGTGCCATTGATTTATTTTCTTAATCTTGCTAAAATTAGTGATTCCTAAAGCACAATGCACACTGGAAATGGGCACCAATATCAGTCTGCTCTTTCATATGGATCTGCATATTTGGATTGAACAGAGAAAAAATTATAGGAGATTCTCCTGGATGACCACATTCAGTACTTTGTCAGATGCAAAGTCAACAAAAAATCACACTCAAAAGGTGAAGAATCTTGCTTTTCAGCTTGAGAAGGAGCCGTGAATGGATTCATATCCATTCTTGGGTTGAACTCAGTTCCAGAGCATTTTTCATGTTCTGTTTTTACATTTGGATGTGGTTTTAAAATATGAATAATCATATGCTATTGATTTCTTTCTCTGACAAGAAAAAAAATCATCAGACTTGGCCAAGAATCAAATGCTCAAGAACTGAGCCATTTGGACAACACTTCAATTTCATTCAAAGTAATTTTTCTGCAGCACTCTGAATATATCTATTACTCATGTGTCTTCTGCAGCCAAGTTGCTAAAGACAAACTGAAGTCAATCTGATTCTTGGCCTTTGTAGCTCACCTGCTTTTTACTCTGATTGCTTTTGGATTTTTATCTTTGTCCTTTTAAAAAAATAAGTCCCAGGAGGAACCCCAGGCTGCAAGTGCCTTCGAAGTGCCAAGGATCAATGTGTCCTGCATTGTACATTAATCCTCACAGCTAGCTGCATTCATCGACACAGGAACTAAGTGACCCAGG